CTCACACACTCTCTCTCACACACACACACACACGCGCGCTCACACACACTCCCACACACGCTCACACATGCTCCCACACACACACACACTCTCTCACACACACGCATGCTCACACACTCTCTCACACACACACGCGTGCTCCCACACACGCACACACACACACGTGCGCTCACACACGCTCCCACACACGCTCACACACACACACACACAGATGATGTGAGCTTATCTGTATGCTCGTGTGTGTGTGTTCTGCAGTCAGATCTGCGGTCTGTGTCAGATGTTTCCTGAGGCTGCGTGTAAAGCCGTGCAGACGTTACTCAGCGACAGCGGCCACAGCATGGAGGAGACGCTGGAGGTCAAAGGTCGAGCGCCGATGCCTGATCTGGACATGGTGCGCAGATGTACTGACACAAGAGCACAGATACAGAGACGAGAGGCTGATCCTGAGCTCATCGTGTGTGTGTGTGTGTGTGCAGCTGGTCCTCCTGAAGATCACGGCGCTGCTGTTCCCCTCGTCAGATTTCAGACATCCGGTGACGACTCCAGCGTTCCTCTACATCAGTCAGGCGCTCACCAGGGTCTGTGTGTGTGTCTGTAATAATGAGTAGATTGTTTGTTTGTTTTAGTCATACAGATGCTTTAAAACATCTTGTTCACCCAAGACATGATGACCTAATGTGATGGCTCTGTGTGTGTGTTTCAGTGTGTGGTGCTCTCTCTGGAGGACGTGTGTAAGGGTTTGATCCTCTGCTGTCTGGCGCTGGAGTTCGTCTCGCTGTCTCGGAGGTTTTTCCCAGAACTGCTGAACTTTCTGCTGGGACTCCTGCACCTGACTGTCTCTGACAAACGCAACATGGGTACTGCAGTGTGTGAGAGTGTGTGTGTGTGTGTGAGTGAGTGTGTGTGTGTGTGTGAGTGAGTGTGTGTGTGTGTGTGAGTGAGTGTGTGTGTGTGTGTGAGTGAGTGTGTGTGTGTGTGTGAGTGAGTGTGTGTGTGTGTGTGAGTGAGTGTGTGTGTGTGTGTGAGTGAGTGTGTGTGTGTGTGTGAGTGAGTGTGTGTGTGTGTGTGAGTGAGTGTGTGTGTGTGTGTGAGTGAGTGTGTGTGTGTGTGTGAGTGAGTGTGTGTGTGTGTGTGAGTGAGTGTGTGTGTGTGTGTGAGTGAGTGTGTGTGTGTGTGTGAGTGAGTGTGTGTGTGTGTGTGAGTGAGTGTGTGTGTGTGTGTGAGTGAGTGTGTGTGTGTGTGTGAGTGAGTGTGTGTGTGTGTGTGAGTGAGTGTGTGTGTGTGTGTGTGAGAGTGTGTGTGAGTGTGTGTGAGTGAGATTTTACTTCACCTGATCAAACCTAACGAGCTACTCGTGTGGAAACAGGAAGAGGAATCTGGGTGTTTCCTGTCTGCTTATGTCCATCATCACAAGCGACAGAGGCATTACTGTATTCACACATTCAGTCTGAGTATTTGATTCTGAACGGCTGTCCATCATGCTCACGTGACCATTGTGTGACACGCTCACACACACACACACACTCACTCATACATACACACACACACACACACACACCAGTTACTGATTACATTATTGATTGATCTTTGTATTTCTGTTGTTTCATTCTTTTTAATACATGTTAAATCCCTATTTATTTCTTGCTTTGTTATTTTTATTTCTGATGCACCTTTTATGTCTTTTTAATAACTTTTATGTAAAGCGCTTTAAATCACACTCGTGTTTGGTAACAGTTTTCTTGAAGCCTTAATGTAAACTGCATTGTTATAGGTGTTCATAATGTATGTTATATAATGCATAATAAAAATGTCTGAAATATGTAATTTGTCATGTATTTTAATGCATTACACTTTCTAAAAATGTAAAAATGAATAGATTTATTATGACTGTGTTTACAATTATCCATGAGATCATATGATGCATTTATTACAAGGCATAATTAATGCATTAAAATACTTATGTAATGCACTATATATATATATGTGTGTTAGGTGTTCTATAATAATAAACACGCATGGCCAGTGATTTCCTCTCTTCTGCATCTGCTGTGTTTGTGTTTCAGGCTGTCGCTCATCGATTCCTGTCTGGATCTGGTGAAGAGATGCACGTCGCTCTATAAAGACCTGCCGTCATTCGCTCACATCTTTCAGCCAATCAGAACGCTGCTTCTCCAGCATCTTCCTGTCGAGGGTTACCCCGCCCCTATCCAGGTTCAGCATCTGCATTACCATCAGATTCACAATCATCAGCGCGTTATGATTCATGCTGATGTGTTTGTGTGCAGGATCTTCACAGCGAGATCTTAGACGCCATTCCTGAGCAGCCTTCCCAGCATGCACCTCTGGTGTTCAAGAAGAAGAAACCCATCCCGCTGAAGCTCTTCACACCGAAAATAGTGCAGATGTGAGTGAAACATGAACTAGAATAATTTCATTCTGACACAGCTCTGTCCTAGACAAATACAGCACTATATATGTGTTCCTGCAGCACAAAAGCAGTGTTAAGTCGCTGGGAGGCCCTCAAGAGGAAGAACAGGAAGTGATGAGGAGGAAGACTGGAAAACTGTACGTTTGTCCTCATGATAGAGGTTTTTATCTGACAGATTATGAGAAATAAAGCTTTGCAGTGAGACTCTCTTCATGTGATGGAATCCAGTTTGTTTTTTTAAATGATTGCTGCACTGCAAAAAAAATAAAAATATATATTTTGTAGTCTTTAATCAGGAAAGAACAGTAAGATTTTTAATGTTTTTTAAAGAAGTGTCTTCTGCTCACCAAGCCTGCATTTATTTGGTTTTGCTGCTTAATATTTTTGTGGAAACAATGATACCACTCAAACATTTGTATAAGATTTAAAAAAGAGAGAGAAATTAATAATTCATAATTTTATTCATGATGCATGAAAGTGATAAAAAGTGAGTGAAGATGTTTAAAATGATTTCTATTTAATAAATGCATTAACAGATGTAATTAATATATTTGATAAATGCCAATAAATGCTGTTCATGAAACTTTCTATTTATCAAAAAATCCTGAAAAATAAAGTGCATCACCATTTCCGCAGCAAAATTGTTTTCAACATTGATAATGTATTATTGCAATATAAGATATATCTTTTAATGTGCTAATATATATATTTTGTATCACGGCTCTGGTTTCTCCTGCAGTCTGGATTACGGTAAAAAGCGAGGGAACACGAAGGAGGAGAAGGAGCACGAGCGGCTCAAGCACAAATACAAGCGTGAGTTTAAGGGAGCGCTGAGGGAGATCCGGAAGGACACACGCTTCCTGGCTCGGGAGAAGCTCTTTTGATCAATTTAAAGCATCCCTGCTAAATAGGATGCAAGGATGCATCCTATATATACATATATTAGAATCATATTAGAATGATTTCTGAAGATCATGTGACACTGAAGACTGGAGTAATGATGCTGAAAATACAGCTGCGCATCACAGAAATACATTACAGTTTAACACATTCACACAGAAAACTTTTTTTTACACATTAAAAATATTTCACAATATTACTGCTTTTGCTGTATTTTGGATCAAATAAATGCAGGCTTGGTGAGCAGAAGACACTTCTTTAAAAAACATTAAAATCTGACTGTTCAAAAACTCTTGACTGGTAGAGTACATGCAAAATGACCGGAGATATTAAGAAATATCAAAATAAAGTGAGTTTGTTTAAAACAAGAACAAATATCTGCCAATGGGCTGAGTAAAAATAAAAATTAACTTAATTCAAAGGGAAAACAAATGTCTTTCTGACCGATTGGCAGATATTTGTTCTTGTTATAAGCTTAATCTCATTTAATTTTGATACATTTTTTTAAATATCTTATGTCATTTTGCTTCTAGAGTAAATGTATCTTAATTAAATTTTTTTTTAGATATCTGTACTGGAGAAGACGAGGCAAAAATGTTGATTCAATACAGTTTAATAACTCGGTGTTCATTAATTATGAAACAGTTTCAGCTGTAAACCAGCTCTACAGAACACAATAGTGTCATTATTTCAGCTCAAATTTGGTTTTCATCCAAATGAATATTAGTCAGGAACCAATTAATGCAGAAGCTCCAGGAATAAAGGAGCACAAAGAGGAAAAAAGCGTTTATTTTTCATCCTTCAGCAGTTCAGAATAACTGAAGCTTTATAAACCGTTCCGATAAAAGCACAACACGATATACAACAGAGAGCAGTGTGCATTAAAATCAAGCTTTATTTAGTGCCTGGTGAGATTTGGTTCTTTTAGGTGAGACTAGTTAACTCGGCTAGTTTAGCAGGTCTTGGTTTAGTGGAGGTTGATCTCCAGGAGTCTTCAGGCGATGGTCACCGCTTGGGAAAACAAGACACAACACACATCAGACGAAATCAAAACCAAGACTTCTATGAGCTACGGCTGGAATACTCTTCATGATTTACAGTCAACGAGGAGTCGGCGTAAAGTCTGTGAATCGAAAAAATCATGATCTTTTGGCTTCAGACTGATTCCAACCAGGCTGAGATTAAACAAGTTTGATATTTTGAACCGACTTTGAATACATTGTTTCTATTTGTCAAGCGTCTCCTAGCAACAAAAGTGCATTGCCAAGTTCTGGCGCCTGGGAAGTTCCTATTTATGAGTGGGTAAGTCATAATTACGTATGAATAACGTAAAAAATTCACACAGATTAAAGTGCAAAAGGATTATAAAGACCGAAAGGTAACACTTTATCTCATTAGTTAACCTTGCATTCACATTCACTTTAGATACATTGTTTCCATTTGTCATGCGTCTCCTAGCAACAAAGTGAGGAAGTTCATATGAGTTCATAACAGATGAGTTCAAGTCACGTTGGTGATGCACCATTTCTAGGAAAAAAATGTAAAAAAATTAAAAAAATTTTTTTTTTATTCTACATCTCCAAAATGATTAAAGATTGCGAATTACTTGTTCTTGATATTTTTTTCTTTCAATTTCTTTTTTTTTTTGTGTGCATGCAGCTTGGCTAATTTTAATGTAAATGGGGAAAAAATATTTCAACAAATTGATCATTAATGCAGATGTGGCATCTATTGCATGGATAATAGATAACGCTGGGCTTAAAGAAAGTTCAGATTCCCGCTCGTAAAGTTCATGTGTTTGATTCCTCGATACAATCTTTCCAACACGACTTGAACTCATCAGTTTGTTCGTTCGAGTCTGATGCCCAGTTTTTCCTCGGCAAATGTAAGACACCTAGGGCCTCATTTAAATGATCATAAGAGCAGATTTAGGACGGATTCTGCGCAACATTTTATAAACGAGGCCCCTAGTGTTTTCTGAAAGTCATGTAACAATTACAAGTTGCCCGATCTAAAATGTAATTTAGTAGTGTAACTATTTTTTCAAATTACATTTGATGACTTTTCTGAACTTCTAATGTTTTCAACTGTTAATCTGTTTCAAACATCAAGGTTATCCTTACACTGATTATCACATTACATTGTGATAATGTATCATCAGTACTGAGTAATATTAACTACATGCACTTACTATATGGTTAGGATTATTAGGGTTTGGTTTAGGGTTACTTGCATGTAATTATGCATAATGTATTGTTATTATAATAGTAAGTAAATGTAACATATGTAACAAGGACACCTTAAAATATACTGTTTTTGAAATCAGATCTCTGCATAGCTATCACAGGAAACACTGGCATCTAACAATGCTTTGAAAATACAGTTAATCTTAAAAAATAAAGCATACATAAACCCAAATAGGAAATAAACCAGTTATGGAATAAGCATGTGTCCTAAACTCCTGAAACATTGCTGTCTCATATTTTAGAGCAGTCTAAAATTCTAGTTCTAGCATTCTAGAACTGTCCAACGTATTTACAGGAAGGTTACATTAAACGCATACATTTTAATATTAGATGCTACATTTTGATGTTGAATCCACTGTTGTTTTAAATAGAATTATTCTATAGTATAACTAAATATAATGTAGAAACTGTAATTTTCTGCTTTGCAATCGTGAAAAGCGCCATACAAATAAACTTGAGTTGAATAGTCTACGCAGTATTTAATGCAATTGCATCAGAAGTAACTGTAATCAAATTACAGAAAAATTAAGAGTAATCCCTTACTTTATTTTTTAAATGAAATGACAGTAATTAAGAGTTAGTACTGCATTGCACCGACACTGCCTGCGGCGGAGATCCCGAGCCGCTTCTCCTCTCCTTCCAGCAGCCTCCTGTAGGTGGCGATCTCAGCGTCCAGCTTCAGCTTGATGTGGAGCAGCTGCTGGTAGTCAGCCATGTATTTTCCCATCTCCAACTTGGTCTGGCACAGCTGGCTCTCTAGCTGTGTGATGATGTCCTCCAGACCGGCCGTCTTGTCCAGATGCGCCGCCTCCATGTCCTCCAGCTGCTGCTCCAGCGCCGCGTTCCTCGTCCTCAGACCGTCGATCTGGCTCTGCAGCTCCGTCACCTGGGAAAACACACGCTCATGTTACCATTCATTACTAATGCCTTTATCACGGTATCATCACGATATTGAACTTTGAATTCAGGTTTCAAAATCAGGATGCATTTACTTGACAAGTAAAATGACTTAAGATACTATGTCTTGTTTTTTGAAAATATTATACAATTTTTGTTACTTTTTGCTTAAAACGAGTAAAAATATCTGCCAATGGGGTAAGAAAAATAATCTTGTTTAGCCTTTGAATCAAGATTATTTTTCTTTCTCCATTTGCAGAAATTTGTGCTTGTTTTAGGCAAAAACTAACAAAATTTGGATAATATTTTCAGAAAACAAGACATCATATATTTAGTAACTTGTCAAGTAAATGCATCCTGATTCAAGAATTTTTAATTGTTTATACTAAAAATCAAGACAAAACTACTAAGGAAGAAAATAATTTTTTTAAGTGATAAAGTGTGACTGAACAACATTTTCAAACAATATCAAGGTCACGTTAAAGTACAGATTAAAATGTAATAAAGTTTGAAAATAAATAGCCTATTAAGTCTAAATATTGAAGTATTTGGCGCTGTGATGAACACCATAGCGAATACACAAATCTGATTGGCTGTTTAAATCATTTAAACACTTTTAGAATCAGAAAGTAGCAGCTGCTCTTTTTACGGGGTTTCCAAGGAAACCGCTGCATTTCTGCTGTTCCATCAGCGCCACCTGCTGTCAGAGAGTGAAGCTGAATAATTTGTAATAAATAACTATTCACGGTGTTTTGAAGTGCCCACGATGACAATATGGTGATATGTCCGTCACCTGGTTGTGGAAGACGCTGATCTCCTCCTTCATGCTCTTCATCTGGTCCTCGTGTTTGCCGGCCTGCTCCTTCAGAGTGTCGAATTTACCCTTGTACCACTTCTCGGCCTCCTGGACGTTGCGAGCGGACACAGACTCGATCTCGGCGCGCATGCTGCGCAGGTAAGCGGCCAGGTCCGGTCTGTCGGAGTCCAGCTCCACCGTCACCTTAGACTCCTCGATCTGCTTCAGGAGGTCGGCCACTTCCTCGTCGTGGAGCTTCTTCAGGAACTCGATCTCGGCCACCAGCTGCTCGATGCGCTTCTCCAGGTCGGCCTTCTGTAGCGTCGCGCTGTCCACGTCTAGACGGAACTCGCGGAGAATCATCTCAGCCTCCTCTGTGGAGTCAAGAGAGAGGTCACGTAAAAATGGTGTCGATGTGATGTTACATAAAGAGAATGCATTTGATTTAGTCATGCAATACACTCTTAAAAATAAAGGTTCCAAAAGGGTGTTTGAACCATTTTTGGTTCCCAAAAGAACCTTTCGGTGAACAGTTCCTGAAAGAACCATTTTGAAGAACATTTAAAAAAATCTAATGAACCTTTTTAGACTATAAAGAACCTTTTCTGCATTTGAAAGGTTCCATGGATGTTCAAGGTTCTGCGTAGAACCAGTGATGCCAATAAAGAAGCTTTATTTTTAAAGAGTGAAAGGTTCTTTATTGGCATCAATGGTTCTACGCAGAACCTTTAACATCCATGGAACCTTTCAAATGCAGAAAAGGTTCTTTAGATTGTTAAAATGTTCTATCTTAGAACAAAAAATGGTTTACGAGCTGTTCACTGTAAGGTTCTTTGGGGAACCAAACATGGTTCTTCTACGGCATCTCTTTGAAATCTCAGATTTGGGAACCTTTATTTTTGTGTTTCATCATCAGTTTTTTTTTTGGTCATTGGTTTGTTCTCCTGTGGAACTAAATTGGACAATAATGAGCACAGGCCATTGAAAAACCCTGTGTGACCCTGCAGCACAAAAGCAGTGTTAAGTCGCTGGGGTATATTTGTAG